TTGACTTCATGTTCAATTTGTGATCATATATGAATGATCCTATGGGGTAGTCCGTTCTTATGGTTATGGTTGAATTGTGTTTTCCACTGAAATTGATATGACGGGCTTGTTTGCTACTGAGATGAGCACATAAATGAAACGTTGGCGGATGACTAAATTAGGTTTCTCTCTGATTTTTACCAGAAATTGATATGACTAGCTTGTGTTTTCCACTCAATCGGAGTTTCTATTGAACTGAGTTAAATAATTGTAAGTAATAGTATGGGTCGATTGAAAGTCTAGGTGAACTTATACTGGTTTATATTTGACTTAATACATCATTTGATACTATTACTTGCGAGCTGATCTTTCTTTTTTGGACTTTGATGGGCATTGTTCTGTAACAGGCTTAATCATACACATCTTTAAGACGATTCTGGTTTTATTGTTGGTTCAATGCCTTCTGTTAATTCTTCTCAGTGGCAGGAGAAGGCTAGTGGTTTTTTTTCTTCATCAGGTACTTATTTCAGTACATAAAAGAGAAGTTTTTGTTGTTTGACCTCTTGCAGTTCTAAGTTTCACATGTTATATCTAATAATGATACATTGTAGGAGTAAAGCTGAAAGAAGCTGGACAATCAGCTGGAACTTTTGTTGGGGGAGTTGCGAAGGATGCAAAAGGAAATGCTGCTGATGTTGCTGAACGGGTTGGTTCTTTGTTTAAGAGTCGATGGGCACTCATTCAGCAGCCAGCTACAAGGCATGCTGTGCAAGAACGTCTAATATGTGCTGCTGCTACTACTGGCACATTCCTCAGAAAAGGCGTGTCGGAGACAAAGGACAAGGTTGTCGTGGGGAAAGTTAAAGTTGAAGAGGTAATATTGGCGAAAAGTTTCTATTCCTTTTTGTATATTACTTAGTGTGTAATTTCCTTTCATATCCAACGAGTGTATGTGTTTTAGGTTGCAAAAAAAACTGCTCAAAAGAGCAAGACAATTTTGACAGATCTTGAGAGATGGCAGAAGGTAATAGTCCTCCTATACAGTTCCCCTCACTTTATATATTATACCCGACTTTTAACTCCTGTTTGTTTACCATTTTTCAGGGGGTTGCCAGTACTGATCGTAAGTTTCTGAAGTTTGCCCATTTAGTTTATTTAATGTTAATTGAGTATTTACATGTCTGATCTCTCTGCAAAATCTTCTTGCTTGGGTCTGTATTATTATGTTTATTTTCTTTTTATTATGTGACTGTAGTATTTGGAGTTCCAATTGAGGTAACCGTACAAAAACAACAGTCAAGCAGGGTCATTCCACATATTTTGGTTAGGTGTGCCGATTATCTCGTCTTGTCAGGTACTGAATTTCAAAATTACTTCCCTACATGTAATTTTTTGCATGCAACTAAAATTCCATTCAACGGCTGCATTGGCTTTCCCTTTGTTTTCACTTCTAGGGCTAAACTCACCATGCTTGTTCAAATCTGACGGAGATGAAAGGGTTCTTCAGCGGTTGGTATCAATGTATAATCAAGGTAACGGAAATAGTTGTATGATTAAGTTTGGTCTTTAGTGATTTAACTTCAAAATGTGTGTTGAATATATACATTTGTCAGATCCCAATGCCCCCTTACCTGAGGGTACAAATCCAGTTGATGTAGCAGCTCTAGCTAAATGTTACCTGGCCAGTCTTCCTGAGCCACTAGTCACATTTGAGCTTTACAATGAGATCAGAGGTGCACATACAAACTTAAATGCCCTGCGAAACATTTTAAAAAAACTTCCCAACGTGAACTACATGACCTTGGAGTTTACTACTGCACTATTTCTCCGCATTAGCCAAAAAGCACTGCTCAATAAGGCAGGGACTCTCTCTCTCTCTCTCTCTCTCTCTCTGTGCATGCATGCCTGTTTGTGCACTCTTGTTTATGTAGGTTCATTTATGAGTTTTGAGTAGTGTATCTCTCTCTCACACGCATACACATACACATGTTCGTGCTTTCCTATGTGCACTCTTGTTTATGTAGGACTTTTTATGAGTTTGAGTTGACATGTAAGAACATATTATGTTTACTGGTTCTCGTCAAGGCATGGGCTCTCTCTCATGGGATGCATACCTATGAGTGCATTCTTGTTTGTATTAGTTTATTTACAAGTTTAAGTCGGCCTGTAAGGACAAATTTCTCAGTTTTTTTTAACGAAGTGGATATGATGGTCTCTGCTTTATTATGAACTTAGTATCTAGAAAAAGTCACTTAGTGAAATAATGCTGCTTGCTCGGAAGTACATTTATCAGAGGTTGTCTAGAACTAATTTTACTACTGTTTGATATGCTACTCAGTATCTAAGCACTACGTAGATTTTAGATAGAAAAATTTTCATGCAAGGCTGCAAATTTCATATATTTCACAAGAATTGCTTGTTATTTGCAACATTTCAACCTCTATAATTATGGAAGCTGATGATGTCAGGAGCCTCTATTTCAAATTGTAAGAAGCAACCTTCAGGATTACAAAATTTTTGGCGCTAGCCAAGATTTCTGTTCTAGAGCCTTTTTTCCATAACATTTCTTGTGATAAGGATTATATAATGTCATACACGTCTTTGATGTTTTAGGAGTTTTGGCTATTATTCTCTGTGGGACTATTTATGCATGTCTCTTCAAGGATTTATGAATAAGTTTCTGGAGCATGTGTTGCCCATGACATTTAAATTGTAATCCGCAATATACTTCCTTTTAGATGATATATAAGCTTTTAGCTAATGCTAACTTCTTTCTGACGTGTAATTGCCATTTTTTCTGCCCTGAAAATTTGACACCTTCCTTTGCCTAACTTTTGATGTGGTTAATCGTCTTATGTCCTTAAATATGTTCTTAGTTGTGTTGGTAATTTTTGTGTTCGTTCAATAGATGGATGCTCGTAGCCTTGCTATGGAGATGACTCCTATAATAATGTGGCAAAACGACAAGTGCCCAGAGTTCTATCGGGAATTTTGGGATTATCATTCTAAAAGTTCTTCTGCAAAGTCCTTAAATAATACACCGCCTACTTACAGTGCATGGGACGTGCTTTCAGGTAACTGGGTCAATCCTTGCTGTTTGATTGCTTTCTTGCTATGTACTTCATTTTAGTTCACATCATTGGAAAAGGATCCTCGATCTTTTCCTCTTTTGGAATGAACATTCCATTCGCAAGGATTTGAACAAGAAGGATATATTTTTCATTTACTCTTGAATAGATAATTTTAAGTGTTTCAAAGGACCTATCACCTTTGTATGCAAATAATTCTACCTTGTAAATAAAAATTTATTATGATTGTTGTTTGATACAACTGAGGGAATGTGGAAGGTAATAACATAGTGAGGTTGGGCAAATTCCAATCTCGACTCTGCTCTGCACTTTAGGACTTTTGAATAGTTTATTGTACATGGGCCTTTAGTTAGTCAGTGCACCGTTTTAGTACTTTGTGGTTAATTAGAAGCTCTTATAAAGAATTTGTCCCTTTCTTTGTAACCAGCATGTTTCATATATAGAATAAAGGTCTCTTTGAGCAACTCTAGCAAGCGAATCTGTTGGCTGCATCAGTTTAAGAAGTGAGTAGGGACATTCTGAACCACATAGCTCTTAATCTTCTGTTACAAAATTTTGAGAACTCAACACATATATTGTTAACAAGGAAAATAGTTTTAGTTAGTTTAATTTGTTTTGAGTATAATTAGCAAACAAATTTTCTTGCCGGAATAGAATGATGGTCCCTTAGGACAATTCTCACTATTTTGTTTTTGTGCTGCAGAAGAGAGTGATGACACAGATGCTTCCTCTCACATTCCTTTGGATGATGCCGTGTCAGTTGACTTCAGTGCCATCGAGGTCATTCAGTGCCTCATAGATCATCATAATGAAGTTTTTACTGATGCTAATGAAACAATTTGGAGATAAATCAGCAGCACTTATTTCCTCAGGCGCCAATTATTCTTGGATGAATTCTGATACAAGTCTATCTCTTTGAGGCAGATTTACATCTGAGAGTAGTTTTCATAGTTTGTTTGACCAGGTAGGTAAGTTAAACTTGACATTTAATTGGACGCGAGCAGTTAGAACAGTGAAAGAAACTACAGTGCGATGCACAGAATAGAGCACATTTAGGATGCTTTGGTCAATGTTTTCAAGGTTTATTGTAATAACCTACCCGGATTTTCATGGGTTTCAATCTACTGATCTGAAGTAGATATTTCAGTTGTACATACAACTAAAACTGCTATTATATTGAGCGTGTGAATAACAATTCTACTTACAAGTGAAGAATTGACATTACTTCTTTCTTCTTCGCATAAGATCGGGTTTCTCTGATTGTGACCAATGGAAGAGGCCCTTGACTACGTTGAACACTCAAACTTGTATAGGAATTTCTTACTGCACAGCATAATATTTCTTTGGGATGCCAAAGAAACTGTAAGTAGATCCTGGTCTTATCTAACCATATGCATTCTTATCTCAAAAACAATATATACACCTCATTATAACATTAGTCTATTTTTAGTTTGATGAAGAACGTTGATAAGGAAGATAGACATTAGCATCAACGTTTAGAAGATAGCAAAAATAGGAGTGGTTTCCTTCTTTTCCAGTCCAGATATTCTATAGCAGAGTTTGGACTATCGTCCAAGTCAAAGTATACCCATTATGATGTGAGATGATAAAGTGATTTTGAGTGTGGTTGAGCATCAATTATCATCAATGAATCATACTGATGCTGATTCCTGTCACTATTGTTTCGAAGTCTTTCTTAGGTTGGCTTTGTTTTATATGAATAAGTTGTTGAACTTCCCATGCTTGTGCTGATTTAGAACCCTTAGTCCAGTTACTCCAATAATAGTATGCGGGAAATAAGTAACACAAAGGGACAAGACCCACCAAAGCGAATAGTAAGCTAATAAACTTAGACATGGATGTATTGCTTCATGAGCTAGTGGAGTTTAGTTGTCAATGTTTCAGGTACAGTGGTGTATCATGATTAAATTTCTAGTTCAATGAAGGAGGAGGTTGATCAAAGAAATCAAATAAATCAGCTGTGAAATCATCAAAGCAATCATCTGCAGTTGCATGGTAAGAGTTTTCATTCTTAACTTCTAAATTACTTTCTGCCTTCATCTCTTGTTCTTTAGGCATTGAACTGCTTATGAACTTCAGGGAACTGTTTGTTTCCGAAGGCTCGCCTGGCTCAAACACGTCTTGCAAATTGAAAGGAGCGTGGTTTGGAGCCAGTCCGTGGCAGTCTGGGAACATTCCGATCTCTTGCGAGGAATGTGTGAATTGGGAGATGCAACAATGAGAAAAAGGGTCAAAGGGTGCTGCTAGCATGTGAGTGGAGGGGGTTCCAAATACTTGATTTTCATTTTCCATAGTAAGCATATTTGACTGTACTGATAGCGATGTTGTTTTATGCATCTCTGAGTTTCCTAATTGGAAAGCATTCTCCAAATGATCCTTCCAGGTTGATGATTGTTCATCCAGCTGAGAGGAGCTGGAGCTAGGAACCTGCAATTACATCAGCCATACTACCAAAAGTTACCTAAAACAACAGTCCAATCTTCATTACTGACCAAGGTTAGACATCTACAAGATCAAAAAGTTGTAGATTGGTAACTATTAACTTGAGAAATCCATTATGTTCCATCTAACTCGAATGGAAAACTGTTACCTCTAAAGCAGGCAATTCATAGAGTCCTTGAGGTTCCAAACTCCTCTGTTTGTTTTTCTGAGATTTCTGTGGTGGGATCTGCAAAATCCTTTCTAATCTCTTCCTCCTTGTACTCCAGAAATTCTTCACATCATTGTCTGTTCTTCCCTCCAAATACGTTGCAATTTTCGCCCATTTGTTCCCGAATTGTGCCTGTAATTCAATCACGACCCTCTCTTCCTCTGCTGAAAACTTGCATCCCCTGCACAAATATGCATATTCTTTACATGTTGGTTGTAGGAAACATCACAACTTCATAGAGATAGAACCCCAAAAGCCATAGTCAACAAATATGATGATATCAAACTCATTAGAATCTGTCCAGAAACAGAAAACTGAAGAAACTCAAATTCAAATTCCATAACTTACGTCTTCAAGTTGGGTTGAAGTCTATTAACCCAACGGAGACGGCAAGATTTCCCAGTTCTGGGAAGAAGTCCTTTGGATCGAAGGGAGCTCCAGTCTCTTGGGCCAAACTTATTGACATAGTTGACCAGAATCTCATCTTCTTCAGCAGTCCATGGCCCTTTCTTCATGTTCACTCCATTTTGCCTTTCCATTTTTGAACAATCCCTCTCTTCTCTGCAACTCTGTTTTCACTGTCTTCTTCAAAGTGAAGGGCAGCGTCAAATAGGGGTGTGAGAATGTTTTGAACTTTTTTAATTTTTGCTTATGCTTCTCTGTTGTCGGCTCCATGAAAGTGTGAGAAGGTTAACCGTTAGATTTTGATCAATGGATGAGATATTATTGTGGTTCATTTCTTAGTTACATTGGAAGTAAAAGAGTTGATGAGTTATGTGCGCTAGCGAACACTGGATTTTGTTTCTTCCCACTTTACATGAGTAGCGGTTTTGACGGTTAGTGGCAAAATCCACAACCTCGCCCTCTTGAGTTATTGGCTTTAGAAAGAGAGAGAGAAAAAAAAAGTTCTAATAAAAAATCCCTTTTTTCAAAATTAGAGGACAAAAAAATATTATGAAATAATATTATTCAAAGTAGTTTTGATTTTTTTTTAAATAACTTATAAATCAATGTTATTAGAATGTCAAGAGAATTTTGATAAGTTTTATTTTTATTTTATTTTGTGCTATTAATCAATCAAGAAAAACTAATTTTTTTTAGGAATAAAACCCAAAATCACCTTTAAATATTTATAAAATTTGATTAAAATTTCATTACATGTGAAGTAAATATGAAAGAAAAATCCTTCTCTTTATTTGTGACGATCTCATCAACACTAGCATCAAAAGGAAAAAAAAAAAAAAGAAGAGAATATAAAAAAAAATCCCCAAAATATTTTTTCCTATGGATGTTAGAGATTAATCAACCGAATTTTTTACTTATTACGAATTAATTATTAATCATTCATTTAATAATAAATAATATAATTTTTTTTTTATTGAATTCAATACAATATTAGAGATTTGAACCTGTAAGCTGACGGCTTACCACTCTAATAACAAAAACTTAATCTTGTTGGAGCCAATTTATGTAATTTTTGTTTCTCCAGTAGATTCCCACCACTAAGGAGCGGCTTCTCTACATGGAACTCTATGCCCATGATTCCAATAATCGGTTTCGAGCTTCCGCCTTGCTTCTTGTCTTGCTCTTCCAGGTACTTGATATCACGACCCAGCACCGCCTTTCTCTGTTCAATGCCATTTTCAATTTTCTGTGTTTAGTTCTCGAAGCAGCTTAAAATCTAAAATAGAATTTGAGAAGCACCCATTTCTTCACTTACCGAAATGTTGTAGCCCGATTCTTCAATTTTCCGTTCTAGCTGTTATGGGTTTTTGGGTTGAATGCAGATCAGTTATCTATACCATTGATCGGAGAGTTTTCCCATCTCCGATGTTCGTTTAAGTTCTTCCCCTCTTCTATAAATTCTTGGTTACAGGGTTTCGCTTGCTTATTTTCTTCACTGAAATGTTACATTTTCCATTATCTTGGTAAAGTTTGTATCGATTTTTGAGTTATTAGGTTACTGGGCGTGTAGCTGGAGAGTCAGGCTCGTACCCTTTGGTTGTAAGCACATGGCCCTTTTTGGAGGCTGTTGAAAGGGCGTGGAGTGCTGTTAATAATGGCTCCTCAGCAGTTGATGCTGTTGTAGATGGATGTTCCGCCTGTGAAGAACTGAGATGTGATGGCACAGGTGGGCACTTTAATTTGATGTGGGTCTAAATATTTGTTCTCAATGTGTAGTTTATTGGCTCATTCATTTCTATGGCTTAGCTATTGTGTCTTGTTCTATCTTCTGTGAAAAAAAATTGTTGAGCAGTTCACTGGGTGCTTTCTTTAGATGAACAATATGGATTTGCCAAAAATTCTGAACAGTGATGCTATCTGGTTTTTGAAGTTGAGGTTGCTTTCTGACGTTGATGATAACGTCACCTGTTGAGGATTGTTGGGATAGAAGTTCTACATCGGCTAATTAACGGGTTGATCATGAGTTTATAAGTAAGAAATACATCTTCATTGGTACGAGGTCTTTTGGGGAAATCAAAAGTAACGTCATGAGAGCTAATACTCAAAGTGGACAATATCATACCATTATGGAGGTTCGTGATTCCTAACATGGTATCAGAGTCATGCCCAACTTAGCCATGTCAATAGAATCTTCAAATGTCGAACAAAGAAGTTGGGACCCTTGAAAGTGTAGTCAAAAGTGACTCAAGTGTCGAACAAAGGATGTACTTTGTTCGAGGCTCTAGAGAAGGAGTCGAGCCTCGTTTAAGGGGAGGTTGTTCGAGGGCTCCATAGGCCTCAAGAGAGGCTCTATGATGTACTTTGTTCGAGGGGAGGATTGTTGGAAGAGGAGTCCCACATCAGCTAATTAAGGGGTTGATCATAGGTTTATAAGTAAGGAATACATCTCTATTGACCTGAAGCCTTTTGGAGGAAACCAAAAGCAAAGACACGAGAGTTAATACTCAAAGTGGACAATATTATATTATTGTGGAGGTTCGTGATTCCTAACATCACCTTCTGCAGGAATGTTTGCATGACAAAAGTATGGATACTTTTATGTATTTCAATCCTCATTTCACCTCAAGATTGTTTTCATAAAAATTCGCTTGAAAGTGGAATGAGAGATTTATTTTATAGTACCTAGTTTAATGTAACTTTTTATGAATAGTTGGACCAGGTGGAAGTCCGGATGAAAATGGAGAAACAACCATTGATGCCATGGTTATGGATGGGGTAAGCCTTCTCTGGATATTCACTTCCTGTTGCTCATCTTTGTGCATCAGAATAAGGATTTACTTTATATTTCACTAAGGATATGCATAGGTGACTATGGAAGTTGGAGCTGTAGCCGCCATGAGGTATATCAAAGATGGTATAAAAGCTGCAAGATTAGTGATGAGACATACCCAACACACTTTACTTGTTGGAGAGAAGGCCTCTGCTTTCTCCATTTCAATGGGCCTTCCCGGACCCGAAGATCTTAGCTCGTCGGAGTCGATCGAAAAGTGGAACAAATGGAAAGAGAACAATTGCCAACCTAATTTTTGGAAAAATGTTGTGCCTGTCAATAGCTGTGGCCCTTACTACTCTAATGACCTTATGGTTGTTGCTGAGACAACATGTTCAGGAGATGATCCAATGAGAACTGTTGGATTAAGGTCGAATCATTTTGGTCTTCACAGTCACGATACCATATCGATGGCAGTAATCGATAAGGTAAGTTGAGAAGTGAAGTTAATTCTCTCTTGTCATTGTATTCATATTAAAGATTTGTTTCTTGAAATAGTTTGGGCACATTGCTGTTGGAACATCCACTAATGGAGCCACCTTCAAGATCCCAGGCAGGTAAGTTCTATTAGTCGCCTACTCTTTATTCCGCTCTATTACCGCTAGCAGATATTGTCCTTTTTGAGCTTTGCTTCAAAGTTTTTAAAACGCATCAGCTTGGGAGAGGTTTCCACACCCTTGTAAAGGGTGTTTCGTTCTCCTCCCCAACCGATGTGGGGTCTCATAATCCACTCCCCTCCTTCGGGGTCCAGTGTCCTTGCTAGCACTCTCCCTTCTTCAATCGATGTAGGACCCCCAATTCCCTTCGGGGCTCAACGTCCTTGCTGGCACACCGCCTCGTGTTCAACCCCTTCGGGGCTCTGGCACATCGCCCGATATCTGGCTTTGATATCATTTGTGACAGCCCAAGTGCACAGCTAGCAGATATTGTCCTCTTTGGACTCTTCCTTTTGGAATTCCCCTCAAGGTTTTTAAAACGCGTCTGCTAGGGAAAGGTTTCCACGTTCTTACAAAGAGTGTTTCGTTCCTCTCCAACCGATATGAGATCTCACATCTACTGAGATGATCAAATCTCAGTCATTTTCTTTTGTTATTCCCTTCATCGCTGAAGCTTTTCGGATCACGCCTCTCTGAATCAACTTTCTTTGATGCAGGGTGGGCGATGGACCTATAGCAGGATCTTCAGCATATGCAGATAGTGATATTGGTGCATGTGGAGCAACCGGGGATGGCGACATCATGATGCGTTTCCTCCCGTGGTAAACAAACCATTTCTAGCCATTATTATGCAACTCTACTCTCTGAAACTCAACGCATAAGCTTTGATTTGTTCCATGCAACGAACAGATTGATCCGTGTCTATTTGCTTGTTCAATAATTCTTCACTTTCTATCTGTCGAATCGTCCCATTTTGGTTGAATCTCGAAAATACTTCTGCTTGATTACAGCTATCAAGTCGTCGAGAGTATGCGACTGGGGATGGATCCAAAGGACGCTGCGAAAGATGCAATATCAAGGATTGCAAGGAAGTTCCCTGACTTCATTGGAGCTATTTTTGCTGTTAACAAAAATGGTACTCATGCTGGTGCTTGCCATGGATGGACATTCAAGTACTCGGTCCGAAGCCCAGAAATGCATCATGCCGAGGTTTTCACGGTACTTCCCTGATGCTGCAATTCTCTTTTCTTTCAACATTGAGGTGCCTATGATGATGAGTCTTATGAATGAAACATGAGCACTGTAAGTATTGTGTTGGCTCATAAGTCATAAGCAATAGTGTTGAAGTTGATATTGAGACATTACTTTGCTGTAACGATCGCTGACCGTTCATGTGGAAAATTGATAGGAAGATGAGCACTCAAGCATTTATTTCAATTTATTTCAATTTTTACCGCTCAAGTTGACAATGTGAGCTCCCACATCGATTGAAGAAGAAAACAAATGTATTCGAGTGTAGAAATCTCTCCCTAGTAAACGCGTTCTAAAACCGTGAGACTAACACGTGACAGACTAAAGCAAACAATATTTATTACGGGTGGACTTGGACGGTTACAAATGGTATCATAGCTAGACACTGAGCAGTGTGCAAATAAGAACGTTGGGCTCCTAAGTGGAGTAGATTATAAGGTCCCACATTGATTGGAAAACTTTCTCCCGTAGACGCTTTTTAAAACTTTGAGGCTGACAGTGATACAAATAAAAATACCGTCAATCTGTGATATGGGTTTTTTCATACAAATAAATTAATGTTCTCGAGTTGGATTTTCTATTTAAAATGAAT